CACCGCAGCCTCCACTTGCTGGGCTCCGGCGATCCTTCCGCCTCAGCCTTCCAAGTAGCTGGAACTACAGGCGCGCTCTACCACGCCCGGCTAATTTTTTGATTTATTGTAGAGATGAGGTCTTGCCAAGTTGCCCAGGCGGGTCTCAAACCAGCGGGCTCAGGCAATCCACTCACCTCAGCCTCCCAAAGTGCTGGGATTACAGGCTGAGCCATGGAGCCTGGCTGAGAAAATATTTCTTAACCCATTCTATGAGGTCAGCATTATCCTAACACTGAAGCCCAACCAAAGTGCAAGAAAAGAAAACAATTTTAAACATATTTCTGTCAAAAATCTATTTATCCTCTTTCACAGTCCGCAAAGTACTAATAGCCTATATCTATCTTTTAATTAGGACATACCAAAGTAGAAGTGCGCTTTAAAATGATAGCGCTTCCTGGTTTTCAAAGTAGAGTTCAGTGGGGTATTGAAAAGGAACTTATGGTGATTGGAAGCCCAAGAGGGCAGTATTGAGGCACTTAGCTTCTGCAGCCCTAACTCCCCCATCCGGTTAGGACTGGTCAAGAGTCAGAAGACACTTTCCCTTGTAGGAAAGTGAAGGCCACTGACACACTTGCAAACGACACTATTGTGGATTACCGCTGAAGAAAGCAAACAGACTACACTACTTCACTCACCTAGAACCATAGCCAACACACCCCACCAAACCAATGCCCAATCACACAAATAAGTCTTTCCCTACAAAACCTACTGAATAGATTTGGAAGATGTGACTGTTCTACCAAATGCGTAAAAATCAACATAGGCACACATCACACATGAAAAAGGACACAGGACACCTCCAAATGAACACAATGACTATCCAGTAATAGACCCCAATCATAAGAAAATATACAACATGCCAGAAAAACCATTCAAAATGATGATCTTGCCAGGCATAGTGGTACACAACTGCAGACCCAGCTCCTCCAAAGGCTAAGGCAGGACAACTGCTGGAGTGTGGGAGTTCAAGACAGCAGTACTCAATGATCACAGCTGTGAACAGGTGTACTCTGCCCTAGGCAAAACAGCAAGACCTCATCTAGAAAATAATAATATCTTAAGGAAACTCAGAGAGATGCAAGACAATACAAATAGACATTCAATGGAATTAGAAAAAATTCATAATTTGAATGAGATATACAACCAATAGATATATAAAAACAGAAATCCTAGAGCTGAAGAATTCAATGAATAAAATAAAAAAATAACTGACAGCTTCAATAACTGACGAGACTAAGTAGAAGAAAGATTCTCTGAACTTGGAAACAGGTCTTTTAAAATTAACAGAGGCAAATGAACAAATAAAGAATGAAGAAAGCCTACAAGGTCTATGGGACACCATTAAGCAAACTATTATTTGCATTTTGAGCATTCCAGAAAGAGAAGAGCAGGAAAAGGGCACAGAAAACATATTTAATAAAATAATAGCTAAAAAACTCCTAAGTTTAGAGACAGGTGAACATGCAAATCCAGGAAGCTCAAAGAACCCCCAAATTACACCTGTAAACTAGAAAGTTTTCAAATATGCAATGTAACAATGCACCTCAAGGAAACAGAAAAGCAAGAACAAACCAAACCCCAAATTGGTATAAGGAAAAAATATATATAATAAAGATCAGAGCAGAAATAAATGAAATGGTGACTAACAAAGATTACAAAAACAACAACAATGAAACAAAATCAAGAAACCTTGGACAAGACTAAGAATAAAAGGGAGGAAGACCCAAACAAATAAAATCAGAAATGAAAACAGAGATATCAAAACAGATACCACAGAAATATAAAGAGTCTCATTAGTATAGCGGTGACTTAAAGAAACAAAAAGGGAAATACAAAGGATCAGTAGAGACTACTATGAATACACACAAATAAGTTTAAAAACCTAGAAGAAATGGAAAACCTGAACAGACCAATAATGAGTAACAAGACTGAAACAATAAAAAAAGTCTCCTAACAAAGAAAGTCCAGGACTGGATGGCTTCACTGCTGAATTCTGCTGGGCCTTTAAAGAAAAATTAATGCCAATTAAAACTATTCCAAAAAATTGAGGCAAAGGGAATTCTTCTTAACTCATTCCATGAGGCTAGCATTACCCTGATACAAAATCCAGATGAGGACAGAACAAAAGAAAATTACAGGTCAATATTCCTGGCAAATGCGATGTAAAAGTTCTCAACAAAACTCGAGCAAACTGAGTCCAACAATACATCAAAAAGATAATACAACACAACCAAACAGAATTTATTCCAGGGATACTAGGATGATTTAACATCTTCAAATCAATAAACATGATACATCACATCAACAGAATGAGGGAGAAAAAAACATGATCATCTCAATAAATGCAGAAAAAGTATTTGATAAAATTCAACATCGCATTGTGACAAAAAAAAAGAACAATAAAAAACCTCTCAGTATGTTAAGTATAGAAGGAAATTACCTCAATACAATAAAGGCTATATATGACAAACCTCAGCTGAACAAGGAAAAGCTGAAAGTTTCCCTCTAAGAACTAGAACAAGACAAGGATGCCCACTCTTAGCACTCTTATTCAACATAGTACCAAAATCCTAGCCAGAGCAATTAAGCAAGAGAAAGAAATAAAGGACATCCAAGTTGGAAAAGAGGAAGTCAAATTGTCCATTTACAGACGATATGTTCTTATATATAGAAAAACAAAAGACTACATAAAACTCTCAGAATTGATATATGAATTCAGTAAAGTTGCAGGATACAAAATCACCATACAAAACTCAGTAGCATTTCTATACACAAGCAATTAACTAGCTAAAAAATAAATCAAGACAATCTCATTTACAATGGAACACTATGGAGCATGCAGCTAAAGCAATGTGGAGTGGAAATAAAAGAGAGAGGCAGAGAAGAGAAAGTGGTTAGCAGGGGATGGAGGGAAGGGATGCTGGGAAATTCTGGTCAAAGGATACAAAATTTCAGTTAAATTCAAGCAATTAAATATACAACATGGTGACTATAGTTAATTACAAAGCACTGTATTCTTGAATATCACTGAGAGGTGATTTTATTTCATTTTTATTTTTAGAATTGAAGTCTCACTCTGTCCCCCAGGCTGGAGTGTTGTGGCATGCTACTCACGGCCACGGCAGCCTTGACCTGCTGGCTGAGGTGATCTCTCCGCCTCAGCCTTCCAAGTGGTTGGAACCACAGGCGGTGCCACCATGCCCGGCTAATTTTTTGGTTTATTTTAGAGACAAGGTCTCGCCATATTGCTCAGGCTGGTCTCGAACTCCTGAGCTCAGGCAATCCTCTCGCCTCCACCTCCCAAAGTGCTGGGATTACAGAATTGAGCCACCGCGCCCGGCTATCTTATTTTTTGAGTTGGAGTCTCACTGTCACCCAGTCTGGAGTGCAGTGGCATGCTCACAGACACCGCAGCCTTGACCTGCTGGGTTCAGGCTTCCTTCCGCCTCAGCCTTCCAAGTAGCTGGAACTACAGGCATGCACCACCACACCTGGCTAATTTTTTGATTTATTGTAGAGATGAGGTCTCGCCAAGTTGTACAGATTGGTCTCGACCCCTGGGCTCAGGCAGTCCGCTCGCCTCTGCCTGCTAAAGTTCTGGGATTACAGGCATGAGCCACTGCCCAGTCTGAGAGCTGATTTTGTGTTCTCACCACAAAAAAAGATACATATTTTAAATGATGCATACGTTAGTTTGATCTAGTCATTATACAATGTATACATATTTCAAAACAAAAATACATATTATCATGTTGTACATAATATACAAAATTTTTACTTGTCAATTAAAATTAATTTTTAGAAAGCCTATGATTCAGTCTTACTGCTAGATAATCAAATAAATGCATCAATATTTACAGCTAAGAGATTCCCATTACTATGACTATAAATAGCCCATTGAGCAAAATTATTGTAACTATAAACTCTTAAAAATGAAAATGAGCCGGGCTCAGTGGTTCAGCCTGTAATCCCAGCACTTTGGGAGGCTAAGGTAAGTGGACAGCCTGAGCCCGTGGGTTCAAGACCAGCCCAGGCAACTAGGCGAGACCTCATCTCAATGAGAAAAAAAAAAATTGAAAATGATTTTAGTGTTTTCAGAAACGAAAAGAAAGAAATTTTAAAGAAGGAAACCAGGTAGTACCCTTAAACTCTTTTTATCCAATAAAAAGATAAGAGAATTTCACACCTGAAGACTTTTTGAAAGAAGAAGAAAAATTAATCTGGGAACTAGTTCTGAAAATTACACTTTGCAGAAAGTCCTATTTTACTACATCCTTTTTACAAAATTATAAACGTTCCCTATATAGTGTTATTAAGAAAACTATTAACACATGTTAATAAAAGCCTAAGCATCCCAAGACTTGCCCACATAATTTAGCATATTTTCTTGTTTGAAGATACTTTCTTCAAACTTCTTTTGCTAATTTTTCTTTGACCTAGCTATTTAATACAAAACTCACAGAAAAGAAAGGAAAAAAATAACTTTTGATAAACATACGAAAGCTTGTTTCTTTTCTTTAATCCATACCTTCAAAGGAATTGGAAATTCTCTACAGTCTTTCTGTGAATCAACAGTAGTGAACGGTGGCATGGTAGAGTCTATTTTATTATGGTCCTGAGGTTTGACATCTGAGACTTCAGAAACTGTATCCTTTAACTTAAGTGGTATCTGTTGTCTCTGCTTTAGTGATTGATTAACTATTGGATTAGAATAAATCTTAGACTGCAATGAAGACCCAGAAGGCACTAAAGTTAAACAACGGTCCTGTTGTTTGTTCTTGTTAACAGTGCTTGGGCTAACCACAATTGTGAATTCCTTTTTATCATTTACATTATTTTCCTCCTCACTTGAATCATTTGGTAATATAATTCTGGATAGTTTCTTTTTTACACGTGTACAATTTTCTCTCTTCATTTGTTTTAGCATTACTGCACGCCTGGTTTTATATTTTTTACTCCCATTTGCAAAGCAATCATCAGTTATTAAGTTAAAATCAACACAAACTTCTTCTTCACTTGATTGGCTTTTGCAAGATTCCTCTTCATCAACACAAAAACTGTCCTCTAAATAAGTTTCATCTTGTTCAGGAATCTACAATAAAAACACAAGAATATTTTCAATTTATTTCAGATAATCACCAGGTATTTAACAAACAAGCACATGAGATCTTCATGAATATTTATTTCGCTTACTTTATTAATTCAGCTATGTGTTCAGCTAACATATACTTATACATTCTTTATGGAGGAAAATGGAAAGATTTAGGATAAAGAAAAAGAATAATTTCCTTCTAGAAATCTACATCCTAGTGCAGGCAGAAAAGTAAACAATAATAAAGGATAATAAATGATAAAAGCTATATAATAAGCACAACAGAGGCACACAGTACGTATTACCAAACTAAACCTGACAATTCATAAACAAACAAGAATAATATGAAAATGTTATCCAGCTGGACACGGTGGCTCACACCTGTAACCCAAGCACTTTGGAAGGTGAAGGTGAGAGGATTGTTTGAGCCCAAGAGTTCGAGATCAGCCTGGGCAATTTGGCAAGACCTTATCTCTACAATAAGTAAAAAAAATTAGCTGGGTGTGGTGGTATGCGCCTGTAGTTCCAGCTACTTGGAAGGCTTAGGCGGAAGGCTTGTCTGAGACCAGCAGATCGAGGCTGTGGCGGCCATAAGTGTGCCACTGCACTCCAGCCTGGGCCACAGAGTGAGACTCTGCCTCAAAAAACAAACAAACAAACACAAAAATGTTCTCCAGAAATAAAACGTAATGTATAATTTTTAGATATAACATTTTTATGAAAAAACTGCATCTTCAAGAGACATATGATAGTGTATGAGAATTAAAAATTTAACTAACAGATGATGAAATTCTATTCCTTTCCTTTAAAACTCTCCTAATTGGAAAAAAATTTCATAGTATATTCAAATTAGCTTAAATTAAAGAAAATATAATTTAATCAAATTAGTACTAAAAGGGATCTGGAGAATTCACTAAGTCTACTTTTCTGACTTGGGGTAGATATTGTCCCAAAGAAACAAAATGGAGACCTCATCAACAGGAACATATTTCAACACCACCAACAGGAAATTCTTCGTTATACTTCTACAATTCATACCTGTGAGAAAATGTTTACATTCCTATGTTTCTTATGGATCATTTTGTACTTGTTCATCATTGGACTACGCAAAGATTTCATGTAAACAGCTCTCATTTCAGAATCTGTGTAAAGATAATAAGGATTTAAGATAAAGTAGCAAAACTATTTAAAGGAAAACTAAGCATTTAACTTCCACCTATTCCAAATTTACATGATTCAAGTTTTGTGAAAATATATTACATAAAATATTAATATATATTGAAGGATGTTTAAAACCAATTATTCACATATGTAAAGTTAGGAGTTTTGCCTATGAAATCAGATCATTTAGTTCAGTGACCATGCTCTCTGCCTTAGCTATCTTTGTCTTCAGAAATGTCCTAATGAATAATGCCTTTCCATTCAAAATAAAGATATATAAGGACTTTAAAATTGCACCAGATTTATACAAGTATTAAAAAACACACATATACAAGAAATCAAGGCAGAAAATAAAACATGCACTAAAAACATTAAAAGCCACAGCCAATAGTATGGTCATAATATTTAGTTAACCAAAAATTGAGAAACGTTCATTTTTATTTATTCCTATTATTTTTCAACTTTTTGTATTCAGAATCTATCTTCACTTTCCTCAGTGTTACCATCTTGGTAGATGCCACTATCATTCCTTGATTAGATGACTGCCAACAGTCTTCTAACTGGCCTCAACAGAGAGGCTAGAGAGAATCTTCTAAAATATAACAGATCATGATATATTGTTCACTATATATCTGATCTTACTTTCTACTACTTTCCTTCTCCTTCATTCTAGGCACAATGCTGTTCCTTGAACAGGTCAGGTGTACTCCTGCCCCAGGGACTTTGCACTGGTTGTTGTCTTTGTATAAACATTCTTCTACTGGATTTTAGCCTAAGCCTGCATAAGTCACTTCTGCTCTTGAACATCAAGGGCATAAAACCTAATCCTGAAAATCTTTTCAGTATCAAGGCCAAAGTACTGAGAACTTTGTCTTTAACCCCTTTTTTCTATAAAGTCATGAGCTTTGGAAAATTTTGCCATTTTAAATAACATCAGAGATAGCACAAGCAGAATAAATTGCAAGATCTGTGAAAGAGCAGAATACTGAATAGCCAATCAGAATAATTTTCACTTCTGTTATAGCTAATCAGAATCATCAGCTCTAAATGTATATATAATTGTATATAAGATCTAAATGTACGTATAACTGTATATAAGATCTGCTCAAGCTTTGTCTGAAGACACTATTCTCTGAAAGCAGTTCTCCATTACTTGGCAAATTTATCAAATGTAGCTTTGTGTCCCAGTTCGTTTTAACATCACTGAGTCTCTCTTCTTCTAGTCTTTGATCAATGTCAATGAGGCCTCTTTCTATTTTAAATTGTAACTTAGGCTAGGTGTGGTGGCTCATGCCTGTGATCCCAGCACTTTGGAAGACTGAGGCAGGCGAATTGCTTGAGCCCAGGAGTTCAAGACAAGCCTAAGCAACATAGTGAGACCTCCTATCTACAAAAAATTTTTAAAACTTAGCTGGGTATTGCAGTTCATACTTGTAGTCCCAGATACTCAAGAGGCTGAGGCTGGAGGATCACCTAAAGCCTTGAAGTTTGAGGCTGCATTGAGCCACGATTGTGCCAATGCACTTTAGCCTACAAGACAGAGTGAAATCCTGACTCAAAAAAAAAATTTTTTTTAATTGTAACTTGTCCATTATTTACACTTTCAACTCTAGCCACTCCAAATCCTTCTTACCTTGCACAATTATTTTCATTTTTTCTGTAATATTTTCCACTTACAACATACTGAATAATTTAGTTAAGTGTATTATGTTTTCTTCCATATGAATGTAAGCTTTGTAAAGAGAGATATTTGTCAATTTCATTCACTGATATATCTTTTTCAAATGCCTGACATAGTACCAGGAACACAGTAGGTACTAAAAATTTGTGAAATGAACATTTGTCACTTGAGCAACCCAGGCCAATCTGGAGAGAAACAGTCCAGACTAACAGAAGCCTATAAAAAACCAAATCTAAAATGAAGCAAGTATTACAGAATTTGAATGAATAAATGACCAAATAAATACTCTGCACATTCCAAATTTAATTCTCTTTAAAATCTAGTTTCTTTGAAAATGGATTAACATATTTAAATATAACCACATTAAAAACACTGAACACAATGTTTAAGCATCATGATAACATTTACCATTTATAGCTTGTGAAAGTTGAGTCTCATCATTTAAGAAGTCAAGTAATGAGGCATCTTGTTCATTTTCTGACGCATCATTTTCATCTGATGAAACACATTCTGCATCTTCTTTGGAAAGTTCTGCTTCATCATCTAAAAACTTCCTAGCTACATGCTAAGACAAATTAGATAACATGAAGATATTCTTGAGAAAACAAATTTGTCTCATGATTGTAAATAATTCTGGAATAATTGTCAGTGCTTCTAAGATTTAAAAAAATCACAAAAATAGAAAGCTCCAAGAAGAAATTATAAAGTAGCATGCCTAGTTAAAATATCTTTTAATAATTCTGTTATAAGTTAAAATAAAATACAAATCAGCATGTCAGCTTGCTGCAGTTTTCTTCTTCTTTTTCCTTTTTCTTTCTTTGAGTTAGGATTCTCACTCTGTGGCTCAGCCTGGACTGTGGTGGCACACTCACCACCACCCCACCGTTGAACTGCTGGGCACCGGCGATCCTTCCACCTCAGCCTTCCACGTAGCTGGAACCAGAGGTGCACACTACCATGCCTGGCTAATTTTTTTATTTATTGTGGAGACGAGGTCTCTACAAGTTGCCTGGGTGGGTCTTGAACCTGTGCCTCGGCCTCCCAAAGTGCCGGGATTTACAGGCTGAGCCACCAAGTCCGGCCTGAAGTCTTCTTAATAAGAATAACGTCGCTGAGTCTTTTGCCTTGTTAAGTTTCGGAAAGAAAAGTACTGTGCCACCAAAGGAATGATCAAAAGGGAAAGGTGCCAAAGACACTTTTCCAAGTATTTGAATATTGGACAGGGATAAGAAAAAGAATATAATGATTATAAAAAACAAATAGTCTTTTTCACTGTCGCCCAGGCTGGAGTGTAGTGGCATGCTCATGGCCACTGCAGCCTCAACCTACTGGGCTCAGGTGATCCTGCTGCCTCAGCCTTCTAAGTAGCTGGAACCACAGGAGCATGCCACCACGCCCGGTTAATTTTTTGTTTTACTGTAGAGACGAGGTCTCGCCAAGCCGCCCAGGCTGGTCTCGAACTCCTGGGCTCTGGCAATCCTCTTGCCTCCACCTCCCAAAGTGCTGGGATTACAGGCATGAGTCACGGCGCCTGGCAAAAGCAAATACTCTAACACTCAGATTTCTGGCTCTATATTTTCTTTAATTTGAACCATAAATTCTCACACACTTATGTTTTTTCCATTAGTTATGCAAAATAATACAGCATTCCAAGATAAAGTATTAAAATGCAAAGAGAAACAAAAATACCGCACCCTGAGATTTTAATTTCCGAGTAAAGAAAATTAAAATGGGTATCTAAATACTTATTAAAAATTGGTTTTTCTATAAAGCAAATGTATAGAGAAATCTACAGTGTTGTAAAAGCTAATAAACTTTACTAAATTTATACATATAAAATAAGTAAATTTTTAAAAGATTACCTTTAGGTGATTCTGTCTCTTTGGGACTTTGATGCATCTTCTAGCTTTCCTGTTACAACCCTTGATGTGTTCCAATTGTGGATATGGTTTGTGAAGATTCTCACTCTCATCACTAGATGATAATTCTAGCTATAATAATTCAAAAAAAATTATTACATAAGAAAAAATAACTGAATTGTATTATTTTGGTGTGTTTCTCAAAGTTATTGCTTTATTTTCACTTATTCTTTAAAAATATTTGGCCTGATATTTTCATCCTAGATAAATAAAACTGCTCCCATAACTCATAGCCATGTTATAAATATATGATACCTAAGAATTTAAAAACCAATAATTTAGGTAATACTAAATGCTAAAATACTAAATTAGGTAATATAAGTAAAACTAACACAGACATTCATTCAATTTTGTATTACATCAAAAATATTTGATGAAAACCTGTACTTTTTTTTAAAACCTAAACCTGTACTTTTAAGTGTTTCCTTCAGAAGATCCTCAAGGGCTTTATAAAAAATATCTAAGTCAGTAAATTAGGCCATCAGAATCAGTCCAAACATACAAGAATTCTTTCAAATCAAGAAACCAATATAACAACAACAAATTCTGACTATGAGCCCTACCACTATATCTCTTACAAAATAATATAAAACCAATAAAAAGAATCAAAAGTTTATGGAGATAATTTCAATTACCAGGAATAATTTTAGTTTAAAATAGACTGATCATCAGTATAATCAATATTTCAATTCACTTCTAATAAGTCAATCAGATATTCTAGTTAAGGTAGTAAGTTAAAGCCGTTCTTCTAGTGAAGTTTTATGAGTACACAAGGTTAATATAGACTGGTTGCGTTTTTAATTACATACAGTCCCCCGCTTAAGATGGTTTAACTTAGGATTTTCAACTTTACGATGGTGTGAAAGCGATATGCATTCAGTAGAAACTGTACTTCAAGTACTCATACAGCCACTCTTTTCCAATTTTTTTTTTTTTGAGTTAGAGTCTCACTCCATCACCCAGGCTGGAGTGCAGTGATATACTGCTCACAGCCACCCCAGTGTCGTCCTGCTGGGCTCATTCGATCCTTCTGCCTCAGCCTTCCAAGTACCCAGAACTACAGACCCGCACTACTAGGCTAATTTTTTGATTTATTGTAGAGACAAGGTCTCACCAAGTTGCCCGAGCTGGTCTCAAACCCATGGGCTCAGGCAATCCTATCACCTCGGCCTCCCAAAGTGCTGGGAGTTTTTCACTTTCAATACAGTAGTCAATAAAATTCATAATGATATATTCAGTACTTTATTATAGGCTTTGTGTTGCATTATTTTGCCCAACTCTGGTCTAATGTGTTATGAGCACATTTAAGTAGGCTAGGCTAAGCTGTGTGTGTGGTAGCTTAGATGTATTCAATGCATTTTTGACATATAATATTTTCAGCTTACAATGTGTTTATCAAGATATAACGCCAGAGTAAATTAAGAAGCATCTGTAATTTTGCACAAAGTATCCTAGATTGTGCTTGAGAATTAAAGCACACAAGATTTTCTGATCTCAAATTTTAGTTATCAGTTATAAGTTGATGACAATTGAGTATTATTAACCTTAAGACCTGCCCACCTACCACAACTTCAGAGTCACATAGTCACCAATGCCTGCCAGACACCGTCACTTTACTATCTCACAAGAACCTCAAACTCAAACATGCTCAACACTAAATTTACAATCTTTCTTGTCTTCTCTAAATTTGTGACACACTTGCCAAACAGCCCAATCCAAAAACCACAACTCTGGACTCCTTTCTTCCCTTCTTTCAAAACCATTTCAGTAATCAAATTGAAGAATTAGGACTTTAAAAAAACTGGCTTCAGCCGGGCTCGGTGGCTCAGCCTGTAATCCTGCGCCTTGGGAGGCTGAGGTGAGTGAACTGCCTGAGCCTGTGGGTTCGAGACTCGCCTGGGCAACTTGGTGAAACCTCATCTCTACAATAAATCAAAAAACTAGCCGGATGTGGTAGCACGCACCTGTAGTTCCAGCTACTTGGAGGGCTGAGGCGGAAGGATCGCCAGAGGCCAGCATGTCGAGGCTGCGGTGGCTGGGAGCAGCCACTGCACTCCAGTCTGGGCGACAGAGTGAGACTCCAACTCAAACAAAACAAAACAAAAACAAAAACAAACAAACAAACAAAAACTGGTTTCAAATTTTTTCCAATTTTACTTCCTGGAACTCTTTTGTCTTTACAACCTAATAATACAGAGATGCTGTCTCCCACCTTTTGGTCATTCTTTAAGTTGTTCATTCTGTTAACAATGCCATTGCTTCTCCCTTCTGCCCAAATGCCACATACACTTTAAGATATAACTAAGGTATTACCTTCAAGAGGCTGCCAAAACTCCCAGGATCAATGCTGGGAGCTTAACTTGTTTTATCACCCCTTAAAAAATTATATTTAAATGATCTCTTTACTTATCTATCTCTCCTATTAGACAACTTATCTACAGATGAGTTTTACTTATCTATTTCTTCTATTATGTTAATTTAAAATCAGGACATACTCTTTATTTATTTACTTATTTTTTGAGTTGGAGTCTCACTCTGTCACCCAGCCTGGAGTGCAGTGGCCGCTCCCAGCCACCACAGCCTCGACCTGCTGGGCTCCGGCGATCCTTCTGCCTCAGCCTTCCAAGTAGCTGGAACTACAGGCGCACACTACCACGCCCGGCTAGTTTTTTGATTTATTGTAGAGATGAGGTCTTGCCAAGTTGCCCAGGTGGGTCTTGAACCCGCAGACTCAGGTAATCCACTCATCTCGGCCTCCCAAAGCGCGGGATTATACAGGCTGAGCCACCGAGCCCGGCTAGGACATATTCTTTAGAGCATCCTCAGCATTTTACACAAAAAGTAAATACACATACTAGATATCTAGTGAGTGTTTGCTGAATTCCTGAAGTGTACTGACAAAAGTGGGATGGATTTTAAAGGGAATCTAAAATTATTTAATATTTATAGTTCTTGTGCTTAGAAAATTTTACAGTAACTATATCTTCAAAAACAGAAGAAATTCCAACGATATAAGATAGAATATCAACTTATCTAAAAAAGATTAAACATACTTCTAATTATCTATACACATATTGTACTTGTAAGATTTAGTCCAAAGGACTTTGGATTACTATATAGTATCTGATATTTACTTACTCTGTTTAGAGGAACCCTGCGCTTTTTGACAGCATGAAGTGGAGAGTCATCACTATTTTTCTGATCCTAAATAAAATAAATAAACAGAAAAAGTAAAAGCTAACAAAACTCTCAGCAGAAGCCCAAGGTAGAGAAGGAAAAAATAACAGCCTCTTATATGATTACATTATTGTGATTATGGAATGACTCACCTCAGGAGATTTTAAAACATTTCCTTTTCCTTTTTTATTTTTTCTTCGAAAAATCTCATCTTCACTGTCATTACTTGTTAGTAATCGTTCATCTATAATTTATTTTTAAAAATAATGAATCTGGTCAATAGATTTACATTTACTCAATCATAACAATCTATTTTACTGATGGCTACAGTAAGAATTGTTTCTGGCAATGTCAACAGTTTTTCCAAAAACGATAATTTTGCAGAAGTTTGGTCAAAAAAGTCAGTATGAGGAGAGACAAAAAAATTAAAATGCCACTGAAAAAAATGAGACAATAGCTTGTGCTACTATACACATATTTGAAGGAAGTTCAATTTTATAAATTAACATGAGAACAGAAAAAGGGAAAAATGTAATTTTATTAGTCAATGGTTCTAATCTCCAAAATCTACTGAAGTCTTTCTGCCCTTTGTGTCTTATTCTTTCTAGTTGAAGGAGCTAAAGTACGAAAATGCAGACTACAAAATATATAAAAAGATTCTTATTTCTGTATGGGTACATATATGTACATATACAAATACGTTTGTGTACAGACATGAAATAAAAATTAGTAAGATAGTCAACAAAACAAACTACTACAAATTCAAGGGGTGTGGTGAATGTTAAAAACAAAAACCCTCAGGAAAGAAATCAAATGCTTCAAATTTCCAGGTACTTAATCAAAAGTTTTATTTCAGCACTTCCATAAAGTTTTGATTGGAAAAACCTTTTTGTGTCTTAATTAAATCTTCTATAGAGCCTGGCGGTGGTTTTAAGATATGTTCACAAATTCCTTAACCCTTCAAGAAGTGGACTGTAATTCCTCCCCCGTTGAGTGTGGCCCAGAATTATCGACTTCCTTCTAACTAAAGAATATAATGGAAATGAAGTGTATAACTTATGAGTCCAAGTCATAAAAGGCATTTTGGTCTCATCCTTGTGCTCTCTCTTGTATCACTTGCACTGGCAGAAGCCAGATGCTACATTTTAAGGACATATCAAGCAACCCAATGAAAATGTGCATGGGGCAAGAAAGCGAGGCCTTCTACCAAGAGCAATATGAATGAGCCATTTTAAAAGCAGATCCGTTTGGGTGTGGACCTGTATTCCTGGCACTTTGAGAGGCTGGGGCGTTCAAGAACAGCTCAGACAACATGGTGAGACCTCGTCTCTACAAAAAAATTTAAAAATTAGCGAGGTGTGGTGTGTATGCCTATAATTCCGGCTACTCGGGAGGCTAAAGCGTAAGGATCACTTGAGTCCAGGAGGTCAATGCTATGGTGAGCCATGATCATGCCACTGCACTCCAGCCTGGGTGACAGAGTGAGACTCCAAACCTATAAAAGCAGATCTTCCAAACCTATTCATATTTCCAGATGACTTCACCTCTTACCAAGCCAGAAGCACTCAGCTAAGCCACATTTGAATTTCTGACCCATAGAAACCATGAAATAAGACATGCTCTTTATTTTAAGTCATTAAGTCTTGGGACTAGTTTGTTACGCAAAAATAGATAAAACAGATTTTGGTACCTAAAAGGGAGTCACCATAACAAAAAACTGGGAAAGTAGCTTTGGAAGTAGATAGTGGGTGGAAGCTGAAAGGACTTTGAGAGTTTTAGTGAAAGCTTAGGGAGCCTCATAGAAGTCATAGGAAGATTAATGACCACTGAAGAGGTGATGGGTGAGGGTTTAATTAAGGAAAAGCAGAGAAAATCCGACGGGAATTGGAGGAAAGGAAATCCTTTATGTAGTACTGGAAAGTTTAGCAACATTGTGGTTAACACAAAAAGTAGAAAATGTACCTAATAAATGAGGTGATCCAGTTAAGACTTCCAGAAAAACATTTAAGATATCACCTGCTGCTTTTTGCTGTTAGAGGAAAATACATAGTGAAAGAGATAAAGAAAAAAACTATTAAACATGGAAGAGTTGGGACTTGCTGGTTTTGAAAATTCCCAGCCACTTCCAATGGCAAACAATGCTAAAATTAAGAAATCTAAGCAAAGATCACATCCAGAAGACTGCAAAGAAAATATGAAGCTGAGGATGTAGTTATAAATGCTTTGTTAAGACCTCAGAAAGATCAAAGGTGATGTCCCAAAATATTATGCAGTCAGATTAAGGGCACTTTAAATATTTTAAGGATGACCCTCGCAAATACTTTCAAACAGCAGGCCTTCTAAGAAGCTTAAGAAATCGTCTCCAGGCATCTCAGTAGAAGCTCAAAGTAGAGAAACACTTTTTTTCCAAAAGATATGTGAGCAAGGATAGTGTCTAAGGGAATAAGATTCACCCAATAAGATTCACAAGAGACCCACAAAGATTTATAAGAATTTTAATGAAGGAAATACAGCCAGGTACAACTTAAAGGGATAGAAATAGTAAAAACGGATGTAACCTTTGGACCCCTAAATTTTTACAGGAAAAGGAAGCAGACTAAATAACCTCATAGGTGCTACCTGCTATAAAAAAAAAAGAACCAAGACTAAATAACTCATAGGTGCTACCTGCTATAAAAAGGAAGCAGACTAAATAACCTCATAGGTGCTACCTGCTATAAAAAAAGGACCAAGCATCCAGAGAATGAAACCAAAGAACAAGGAGATTATTCTCAGGCATTAAGTCCTAATCAAAGAGCTTTCAATCTCTGTTCTGCTGGATTTTAGAATTGTTATGGACTAGCAAGTCCTGTCCACCTTCAACGGCTCCCCTGCCCCTTGTATACAAGCCACCTTGGAAGCAGATTTGCCATGCCAATCAAACCTTCAGATGACTGCAACCCCAGCTGAAATCCTGACTATAACTTCATGATAAATCCTAAGCCAGAGCCACCCAGTTAGGCAGCTATGGAGTTCCTGACCTATAGAAACTGAATAAATGTTTACTCTAAGCCAGAGTTTTGGGGGGGGTAATTAATCAAATTAAATTTACCCAGTAAATTTCTCCTCACACTCTGCTAGTAAAACATCTACTCAGATAGATAAATCTGAATAATTACTTTTGAATATGAGCACATATAAACTATTAGTTTTTCTTTTTCTTATTACCTTTTTAAATGCAGGACTCAGCAATGGTAATCAATTCATTCCAGGAGGGTTTCTTTTTAGCTGCTTTAGTGGTGTTTTAATTAACTATTGTTTAATACATATAACATGGTATATGATCTTCAATTTTCTCTTTTAATCAGGGTAATTAAAACACTAAACACATATTCTCTAATAATTCCCTAATATATAAGTGTTCATAATTAGTAGTTAAGCACAATGGTGGAAAAAAAGTTTTAATGCAAATCTGATACAAAAAGAGAAAAATGATCTTCACCCGCTAACGTGGACTTTATCGGGGTATTAAAGCAAATAAGGCCAGGTGTGGTGGCTCACACCTATAATCCCAACACTTTGAGAAGCCAAGTGGGGAGGATTGCTTGAGCCTAGGTGCGCAATACCAACCTGGACAACACAGCAAGACCTTGTCTCAACAAAAAAATAAAAAAGTTAGCCAGGTATGTGGTGTATCCTGTAGCCCCAGCTACTTGGGGGCTGAGGCAGAAGGACTGCCTGAGCCTAGCAGGTCAAGGGTGCGGTGAGCTGTGATCACACTACAGCACTCTAGCCTCAGTGACAGAATGAAACACTGACTCAAAAACAAACAAACAAATAAATATTGAATGCTGACAATCAATATACACTTAATAAAAAACATATGTCAGGGCACACCCCAAGCTATACAGTATGGTCAGGTTTTTAAAATTAAACATATTTTCAGAACTTACTTCAAATGCACTCATCTTACTCATGATATCATACCTTCCATGCTAATGAGAATTAAATGATAAGGAAAAGATTTACAGAAGAAACTCTCATTTTATCCCACAACTTCTCATTTTATCCCACAACTTCTCATTTTCTGCAGCCATAAGACATAAAATTCATAAATGGCTTGATACAATAATCTACAAGCAAACTATAGTTATGTTATATAGCTGGATTTAAAGAATACTTAAATCATTTTAATACCAAACACCTATCACTATATTTTCTAATTTTTCTGTAACTATAAAGTGAGATAACAGAAATCCAGAGATCCCTCTAGATTTTCTGTGGTCTAGTCTCAATCCTCTGAATACAGTTTTTATTTCTCAAATATTTTGCTATATAAATCCTTTACTACAAACCATCCCCCCCAAAATCTTACACGTTCCTTCTTTCCTCTTGGTTTCATTATGTTATAAGACTCAAATTATATCTTTAGTATTTGCAACATATTCAAATCATAAATATTCCTGAGGAACCAAAATGAAAACCTATATTATATATGAAATCTTTCCAATCTAACTCAAAATTTCATCATCCTCTGAACTTCCGAAACAGTCACTCTATTATTATTCACTTGGTAGTTATTTCTAAATTTTACTAGCATCTTTCCAAACGTGTATGTTGCATAATTGTTTATGTTTTACAATCAGAACATAGGTCTAAATATTATATTTCTTTGTGTATTTCAGGGACTAGCATAATAATACCTCTCCTGTGGCATGCATGCCATAAACACATGTAAATAAAATAACTCTAACATCAGTAAGCATCAACTTAAGAAAAATATAGACCTTTACAATGAGAACTATAAAACACTGCTCAAAGAATCCAAGAAGACACAAACAAATGGAAAAATATTCCATGCTCATGGACAGGAAGAATCAACATTGTTAAAATGTCCATCCGACCAAAGGCAATCTACAGATTCAACGCAACACCCATTAAATTACCAATATCATTCTTATCAGACCTAGAAATGACAACACAGAAATTCATATGGAAACATAAACGACCACGAATAGCCAAAACAATCCTTAGCGAAAGAAACAAAGCAGGATGTATCACATTTCCAGACTTCAAACATTACTATAAGGCTACAGTAATCAAAACAGCCTGGTACAGGTACAAGAACAGGCACATAGACCAAAGGAACAGGACAAAGATTCCAGAAGCAAAGCCTCAATTTCTCGACAACTCGTCTTTGACAAAGCCTCCAGTAACAACCACTGGGGAGAGAACCTATTCAGTAAACGGTGCTGGGAAAACTGGCTGACCACATGCAGAAGATTGAAACAGGACCCCTACCTATAACCATACACAAAATTAACTCTAAATGGATCAAAGGCCTAAACATAAAACCTCAAACTATAAGAATCTTAGAAAACGCAGGAGACACCCTCATGGAAATTGGAACTGGCAACCAATTCCTGATCAGAACCCTAAATGCCCATACCATAAGAAATAAGAGAGGTGGGGCCTCATCAAACTGATGAGCTTCTGCAAAGCAAAGGAAACCATCAAGAAAGAAGGGAGACAGCCCACAGAATGGGAAAAAATATTTGCCAACTGTATATCTGACAAAGGCCTAACATCTAGAATCTACAAGGAACTCAAACATGCCAAAAACAAAAAAACGAACAGCCCCATTAAAAAGTGGGCAAAAGACATAAATAGACACTTCTCAAAAGAAGATATAAAGGGAGTCATGGGACACATGACAAGGGCTCAGCCTCACTCATCATCAGAGAAATGCAAATCAAAACCACAATGAGATAACACCTAACCCCAGTAAGAATGGCCATCATTAATAAAACAAACAACAACAAATGCTGGCGAGGAGGTAGGGAAAAAGTAAGGCTCCTACACTGCTGGTGGGAATGCATACTAGTGCAACCTCTTTGGAAGACAGCGTGCTGATTTTTGAAAGAACTAAAAATTGACCTTCCATATGACCCAGCAATCCCCTTTTGGGAATATTCCCAGAAGGACTCAAGTTATTTTGCCAAAAAGATACCTGTACATGCATGTTTGTTGCAGCTCTATTCACAACAGCAAAAACATGGAACCAACCATGCTACCCACTGAAGCTGGACTGGATAAAAAAAATGTGGTTACATATACACAATGGAATAGTATGCAGCCATAAAGCAGAACAAGCATATGAACTTCGCAGGAACTTGGATGGATTTAGTCTATCATACTCAGTGATCTATCACAGAAACAAAGAACAGAGTACCATATGTTCTCACTCATAAGCGGACCTTGAACAATTACCATAATACAATAAGAAAGGGATTGGCAGTAGTGGGAAACTGTGGGGGGAGGGGTGGGACTGGCTGTTGAGGGAGACTACCAGGAAGGGAGGGGCACACCTCATCAACAAGGGTACTTGCATAATGAACATTTGTATACCTAAGCCTGAATTGTACCCCACATCTTTTTTTTTAAAAAAAGAATATTACACGCCAATTATGTAATTCAATACACATACTGCAGCATATATTAAGAAATTACATTTAGAAAAATTACAGTAGTATTTCTAGAATAAATCATTTTAAAAAGAATTGTGCATCTTTTATAAAGATGAAATCTTACCTTCAGCAGAATGACAGGATTGATGCAGATAGATCTGATTACCACTTTTACCCTTTTCTAGAGAAAATCCTGAATAATCTAAAGTTGAATTCAATGTTTCTTTGAAACTTTGTATAAGTACTTTTTCCTTATTAGAATCTGGCGTATTAGGCATTTCCTCTCTCATCTTAGAAAATGAGTTGTAGGGGTTTGATTCAGAAAGTGGTGTACTCATAACTTTTTCTCCTACTGGCAAAGAAAATTGAGAATAACCAGGAGACATAAATTCTTTATTTTTTGCTGCACTTGGTAGAAAACGTGCAAAAGTTGTATTTGATGGGATGGTTCCACTTATAAAGTTTTCACCATGATCTCTTGGTATTACTGCTTTATTTGAAATACAGTTCACATCATTTATCTTCTTAACACCCAAATACCTTCCAGCTAGATCTAGAAGTCTACTGTTATTTATATCTGATGCATGTCCTAGGATTTCATCGTCAGAATCTGGACTACAAAATCCTAAATCAAAGGTAACAGAAAATAAATCCCTAGAGCAATCAAAAACACATTCATCACTCTTCGGTTTTTCCTCACGTACACCCGTCAAATCTTCATGAGATTTCCAACTATTAGTATCACACATGATTTGGTCTTGTGGTTCAGAATTACTGTCTAACAAAAGATCATCAGAAATTAAGGCATCAGCGACGAGAGCTGTTCCACTTATAGCGGTTTTGTCTGACACACATAAAGATTTGCATTTACTGTTTAAGAGAGAAAAGCTCACATCATTCAATTCTGCATTATCATCTTCAAATAATAGTAAACTCTCATCATGATCGGTGAACAATACTGGGAGGTCACTGTTATCAACATCATCATTGTCTTCTTCAACTAAATTCTTTTCAGGGTCTATGTGTATTTTAACATGATTGTTAGGTAATAAATTTTCATTTTGAATATCTTTATGTACTTTATCATCACGGTTAGAAAAGCTTGGCTCATCAGAAATCTTATCATTAGTTTTACCATAAAGATAACATTTTTTTGAAGTAGGATTAATAAGCTTAAGTGAATTCAATTCTAAATTCTGTTGAGAATTCACATATGAACAGGTAAATTTATCATTTTGAAAATGCTCTGCATAGGATAAGGAAAACAAATTCTTACTTGTAGAACCCTTAGCAATTTCATATTCCAAGTCTGAGAGTCTACTCAGAGGCGGAGGAGAATGAGATAAAAATCTCTCTACATTAGCTAGTATCTCTTTTGTAAATGAGTGACAATTATGAAATTGATCATCTGTTCTAGCAGCATAAAGTTCTTCTTCAAATGGAAGAAACAAGCTAGATGATGCAGATTTTTCATCACTGAAACTGTTATAACCAGAATCTAAAAAACTTCCAGCAAATGAACTAGAAGATTTATTTGTAAACTGACACTCTGTTAATACTATACATGGCCGATTCACAACATTTTCATTAATAGGACACGCTGCAGCAACTTCATCTGTATCTGATGTCTTTTTATCATTTGGTAGGTCTACCTGAAAAACATTTTCAACAGTAGAACTTATGTCAATGTCTGAAGAATCCACGACACCATCATTATCTTTTTTCATTTCTTTAGAAGCTTTTTTCTTTAGAGAAACAACTTTAGTAGATTTGATATGAGTATGTTTAAAAATTTCAGCACATTCTGCATCAGATTCTAACATCGAGAATGAACTGCCTTGATTTATATTCCTTGTAAATGAAGATTTCTTGTGAATAATAAAGGCAAGATTATTATATTCATTCCTGGAAGCACTAAATGTTGAGCGAACATCTTCCATCTGTAAATAAGATTTAATTTGCAATTCATAGCTGCATTCTCCCTATAAATAAAGAAAATGAAAAAAAAAAGTCACAGGAATACAAAACAAAAAGCCAAATCTAAGAGATGAGTTTACCTTATAGTAAAAGATTTTCAAAACAATAACACATTATTCAAATGATTTTTGCCTTAAAATTATTCTAATAAATCATTATAAATTACACAACTTTGAAATTATCATGTTATTTTTAATCTGTTAATTTTTCAGTATCCCAGTACATAATACACAAAAGACCTGTGATAACTATTTGTAGAAAGAACAAATTTAATGAATACATAAGAATATAAATACTGAGTTTTCTCACTTCTAACATTTAATTAAATAATTATTTTAATTTCCCAGAAATAGATATTTAAGAAATAAATATATACTAATGAAAAAACATACTTATGTTAAATTTACTCTCTCCATGACAGTAAACTAAGAACATCTTTTAGAACTTCTGAAATAACAGTATTTGTATATCTACCTAGGCTGTATCCTGGAATATACTTCCTTCGTTAACAAAGTCCCCAACCAAGAATTCTTATAGTAAATTTGTAAGTCTTACTTATTTCTAAGTAAATAGCTAAAACTATCATCTTCACCATCCCTCCTTGTCCCCAAGAATGCTACTTTAGTCAGGATTCCTCTGTTATTCATATACTTAAGCAGCTACCTCTCTGTATATTTGGATAACAAATACAATTAATATTCATGTGAGCAATGTCTGTCTCTCTGCTGGTATATCTGCCCCACAGAGAATATTTTATCTGGTTTGTTCATGGATATAGCCTTAGGCACGGAACAGAGCATACCATATAGAAGGCACTCAATAAATATGTTAACTTGATGGCACACATTTTGCTGGGATCTATAACTAATCACTTTATATGCATTCATGAACAATAGCTAATTATAAAAATAGTTGCAATTTACTGAGTCCTTATTATGTACCAGTTACTATTATAAGTGCCATACAAGTATTAGGTCATTTAATCCTTGCAACAACCCTATGAAGTAAGTATTATCACTATTTCTGTTTTACAGAAGAAACTGAGGCACAAAGAGGTTCAGTAATGTACTTAACTAACTAACAGAAGCAGAGTTAGGATTCTAATCCAGGCATCACCAATTTCATTTTCATAACACGTTCACTATTCTGACTCTCTCAAAGAAGAACAATCAAGAAACTGCTCAAGGAAGCTATCATTCCCTAAACTACCACCAGGACGCAAGAGAAATACCAAGTTACCTACATGATAGAGAATATTTCAATAAATCTCAATCCAGCAAGAATCCTAAATTAGCTTTATAAACAATTTACATAAGTCATTAAGTATTATGACATGATATTCTTCTCCTAATTAATTAAATCTATTTCTCCTAAGGCAGAAGGTTTCTTTAATTAGATCACAAGAAGCTATACAGAAAAACAAAATATTTCTTGACTTCAAATTAAGAAAAATAAAGGCAAAGTACTCGTTTCATTATCATACCAGCATGAGAAAGTTAAAATAAAACCCTACCTCTTCATGTCTCATTTCTTCTATCATTTGCATAAGGCTTATAAAATGGTGGCATCGATCTGAATGGTCAATTTGATGCGTAGGAAGAGGATGATCTTGCCACACTCTCCATTCAGAGAGAGAGAGTTGATGGATTCCAATAGTTGGCTCTTGAGTCTTGATTAATTATTTCAAAAATAATAAAAATGATAAAAACACTGAAATTTCACAAAGTGACTTTTTAAAAATACCCTTAATATACAGAAAACCAGCCTAACGAAAATTTTAGGAGAAAAAAATTAATAATTTCATAACCACAAAAATGCCTCTTTAAATCAATCAATCAATCAATGTTTATTTATTTGTCTGGCTATCACTGTAGCCCAACTGGAGTGGAGTGGCATGATCCCTGCTCACTGCAGCCTTGACCTCTTGGGCTCAGGCGATTCTTCCGTTTTAGCCTCCCAAGCACCTAGACTACAGACACATACCACCACATCTGGCTTTTTTTTTTTTTTTTTAATAGAGACAGGGTCTTGCTAAGTTGCCTAGACTGGTCTCAAACCCCTGGCCTCAAGCGATCTTCCTGCCATCTTGGTCTCCCAAAGTGCTGTGATTACAGGAATGAGCCACCATGCCCAGCCTTCAAATACATTTTAAAAATAATTGGTATAAAAATAAAGCATGACCATATTCCTGTTTATATAGTTCCACGTTAAGAGGAAATATTTAAGAAAATATATTTGGTTTCAAAACTACTATTTTGCTAGAGTTATATCCTATAATCTAATAAGGAAATATTCATAATCTCTTAGTGATAATGATCTCAACTCTTCGTGCCTGCTGTTTTTGAGGGAATAAAATATAAATTCTGATAGCCATATAATGTAAGCCCTTTATAACTCTATAAAAGAAATCTTTCCTGAGGTCCTTTTTCCACCTCTAGGTACATACGTAACCCTTGATCAGTTCTCTTGACTTTCATTAAGTTCATCAATAATTTGTTCATAACAACAAAATAAACAATAACACTGACTTTTAAAGTTTTAACTAAAATTTTAAAATGAAAACATAAAAGTTTGTACAAAGATGCTTATGAAAGAATAATTAATGTTACTGAAATATTGAAAATGCCAGGCATAGTGGTCCAAGCTACTTGGGAGCTGATATGACAGGATCACTTAAGCCCAGGAGTTCAAGGCTAGGCTGAGCAACAAAGAGAGAACCCCATCTATACAAAATATATATATATTTATAAGACTCCCACAACAAAACAGGAAAATAGGCAAGCAAACTATGGCATATTGCCAAGTAAAGTGACAGCCAGGTAAGATTATGCCTACATAAAAGTGTTTAAGTGGTAGGAAGTAATGAAAAAAAGGAAGAACTTATGTAAAAATATCACTGCTGTATAATATATATACACAAAAATAATATAAGAAAATTAGTAGTTTTATAAACTTAGACTTTAACGATTCTTTTTTAAACTGATTACATTCTTAATTTTTAAAGTAAGTTGACATTCCATTCACAAACATCTCTCATTACTCCTAAAGCTATTATATGATCATTATAAAAAACATCTGTAAACATACTCAACTTACTGGTCTGTTATTCTCATTTTGTAAAGATGGAAATTGAACCTGGGGCAATGTTATCTTCTTAATTCCATCATTGTCTCTTAATCTGTAAAGTCTGTTCCATAATTTAAATTCCTCTTCTGATAAGAACCAGTCTTTCTTTGAGTTACTTTTCCTTATTCCTGTAAGTTGAAAAAATAATTGAAAAGAGACTTGATTCTATTTCTTAAAAACTAATATTCTTCATATAAAGTCACTCAGTTTATTACTGCTTCTACACACCCCCTAAACCTCTCTTTCCTCTTTAAAAGTACTTTCTGAGAACTTAACTGTTAGTAATGACTTCATTAACAGGATAGAGCTAGCTAGAGTCTCAGCCTTGGCTCCTTTTGGACCCTCCTCATTTTGTTGTCCAAGACCAGGCATGAGACAAAGTCAGATAACTTACAAATGAAAACTAGTATCATGATTCTTTTTTTTTGAGTTGGAGTCTCACTCTGTCACCCAGTCTGGAGTGCAGTAGCCGCTTCCGGCCACCGCAGCCTCGACCTGCTGGAGATCCGGCGATCCTTCTGCCTCAGCCTTCCAAGTAGCTGGAATTACAGGCACGCGCTACCATGCCCAGCTAATTTTTTGATTTACTGTAGAGATGAGGTCTCATCAAGTTGCCCAGGTGGGTCTCGAACCTGTGGGCTCAGGCAATCCACTCACCTCAGCCTCCCAAGGCGCAGGATTACAGGCTGAGCCACCGAGCCCAGTTATTGTAACATAATTAGAAAGTTCATCTGAAGCTTGAGGGGGGGAAAAATTAAGGCCAAGACTTTTAAAGGGGGTTTTTAGAGAGAAACAGGAGTAAAATGTAGGGAAAATGACCTTTTGCCTTAAAAAAATGACATAATAGACTTTTTTCTTTTTTTTTCTTTTTATGCAAAAGACTTTTTTTAAAAATGTGTAGTACATTAAATTTTTTTAGCTTCTATAATCCCTATAAAGGAAAATAATCACCATACTGTAAAGGATAGACAGTATAAAGCAGAAACTATGGATAATACAATTGAGGGCAGAAAAAGTCCAAGAGGCTACTAAATTAGAAATCATCTATCTCAGATGTGTAAGAAGCTTTTAAAAAATGTAAAAAATGAGCTGGGCACGGTGGCTCATGCCTGTAATCCCAGCACTTTGGGAGGTGGAGGTAAGAGGATTGCAGGAGCTCAGGGGTTCCAGACCAGCCTGGGCAACTTGTCAAGACCTCGTCTCCACAATACATCAGAAAAAAAAATTAGCCAGGAGTGGTGACACATGCCTGTAGTTCTAGCTATTTGGAAGATTGAGAATGAAAGGATTTCCTGAGGCCAGTAGGTCGAGGCTGCGGTGGCCATGAACATGCCACCGCACTCCAGCCTGGGCGACAGAATGAGACGCCAACTTAAAAAAATAAAAATGGTATCTCTGCATCTGTTTCCTCAGCTGTAGAATAAGGGGTTTGAACTAAATGATACCTCAGGTTCCTTTCAGATCCAATGCTCAGAGGCTCTAAGACTTTTGAAATAGAAAGGTGCTCCAATCACCTAGCTAGTCCCTTAAAATAAACTCAGACCTCTAAGCCCAGATGAAGCATATACTAGTGTATAAAATATATTATGTATACACTGTATAGAACATATATACATGCAATCTTAGCAAGATGAATCACTGACATTTGAAAAATCAGGAAAAATGGAAGGAAAAAAGAACAGAAAAATGAATATTTGCTAATATTATCGCAAGTTTTTAAAAAGGCAGGTTCCAGAATTTCACTAAATAAATGTCATCCCTTCCTAGTAACATTTTAAAAACAATTACTATACATAAAATTAATTAGCAACTACAAAAAATACAATGATCACTAAAAATAATTTATCTAAACTAGTCAAGTTTTGATGCTACTGTTAATTTATCATATTCAAGAAAAATGCAGAAAACATACTATGTTTTCATTTTAACGAAATATTTGGCTAAGTCCTGGAAAATGACAGGTATATTCCTATGCCTAGATTTGTATTATGTTTAACAGACACATCCAAAAAGCATTGATGGATGGCTCTGAGTTGAGTGGAAGAATATTAACAAATTTAAGTGAATCCAAAGCTAGTTACTAGGAGAGTAAGGACCTTAAACACTCATGGAAGCTGGGAATGGTGGCTCATGCCTATAATGTCAGCACTCTGGGAGGTCGAGATGGGATTGTTGCTTGAGCCTGGGAGTTTGAGACTAGCCTGGGTCACATAACAAGACCTCATCCCCCCCCACACACACACACAAAATTATGGTAGGGGGCTGGGCGCAGTGGCTCACACCTGTAATCCCAGCACTCTGGGAGGCCAAGGCAGGACTGCTTGAGCCCAGGAGTTTAAGATCAGCCTAGGCAATATAGTGAGATCTCATCTCTATTAAAAAAATAAAAATGAAAAAATACACACACACACACACACACACACACACACACACACACGCATAGGGCGTGGTGGTGTACACATATAGTCCCAGCTACTTGGGAGCTGGAGGTGAGAGGATTCCTTGAGCGCAGGAAGTCAAGTCTGTGGTGAGCCCTGATCATCCCACTGCACTCCAGTCTGAGCAACAAAGTGAGATCCTGACTCAAAAAAAAAAAAAATTATGGTAGAAAAACAAGTGGAACAAACAGTTGAACAAATGAAAGGTATAGTCTTCAAACATATAAAGAATTGCTACAAAGATAAACCAAGGATGAAAACTGTACTTTTTATCTAGAAGACAAAACTAGAGCAACAGGAAAAAGGTACAGACAGATATTTCAACATAAGAAGAGTCTTTGATGATACAGGGCTATTCAACAACCAAATGAACCATCATAAAGGAATATAATTTCCATTAACAGAGATATTTAAGTTAAGACTGGTTATCTAGTGAAGAAGAATGATGTTGCAGGAAGCATTCCTACCTTGATAATCGTTTCTCATTTTCATAGTGCCAATATTTCAAGATATTTTATTGGTATCACTAAAGTCTGCAATACTTAAACTAGCAACACTCTCATTAAACTATGCTCCTGGCACCAAAATATTTGTTTCTCACTGTCTCCATGTTATTAATAAATTCATCTAACCTTGCCATTATCTGGTGTAAGGGTAAATTTTTTTTTAAGGTTTATTTCCTTTGTGGAAAGGGAAGAGGCCTTTCCCCATCCTTTTCTCAGAGCATTTCGAGACACAAAATGTTCATAAATCCTTCCTTTACCACTTTAATATTTATGTAAATCTTGTAATGGCTAAGCAAGCTTCTACCCAGCTTTTCAAACCAGAAATTTTTTTTTGAGTTTGGAGTCTCACTCTATCGCCCAGACTGGAGTGCAGTGGCCGCTTCCAGCCACCGCAGCCTCGACCTGCTGGGCTCAGGCGATCCTTCCACCTCAGCCTTCCAAGTAGCTGGCATTACAGGCACGCGCTACCACGCCCGGCTAGTTTTTGATTTATTGTAGAGATGAGGTCTTGCCAAGTTGCCCAGGCGGGTCTCGAACCCACGGGCTCAGGCAATCCACTCACTTCAGCCTCCCAAAGCGCAGGATTACAGGCTGAGCCACCGAGCCCGGCTCAGAAATTTTTTTTTTAAAGATTTAGGAGTCATCTCTTTGAAATGTAAACATCAAGGAAGAGAGTGTCCCTATCTGCCCATTACCGTGGGAGGTTAGCCTAGGTGTCTTTCTGGGAGCTGACAATATCTGCTTGTCATAGAGATAAGAGAAGTTATTACTTTAAGTAAAGGCAACTAGCAAACACAAATGGCTACCTCAATTACCAGGTGGATATGAGATAAACTAAGAAAGAAGGTAAATCAAATGCTGCTGCTGTCCTCTAATATGAGGGCAAATTTCCATTAATCTTGAGAATATGTACATAAAGGATTACAGCTGTGTGGGGGCATATATACAGGGGAGAATTTCTTTCTGTCTATGTATTATCTTAGCAAACTGATTAAAACACACATTGCAATCTGGCTTGATGCTTGTTCAATAATAAAATTGCTTTCTCTCCTTTCTATACTTTGTGGAGAGAATTCTCTGTGTTGGTAAGAGATGTTTAATTTTCCCTAACACTGAGTTTCTATCATTCTGAACTGCCAGTGTCTCTCCTTCTCTTTGCCACATGAACAATCTCTTAGAATGCCCATAACATCCTAGAATGTACACTGAGTTTTCAATGAAGAAATATTATATCAAATTATGACCCACTAACTAAGAATGCAGGGGGGGATGCATGTGTCAAATGCAAAATTTTTCATTTTCCATTCCTGTAGGAAAAGATAGATGACTTACGCTGCAAATTCCGAGAAGGCTTCTCTGGTTCATAGACACCATGTGTGATGAACATTTTGTGTAATTTTGGATTGATTCCATCAGGAACCATTCGTGGACTTCTTTGGTAAAAATGAAGGACCTGCCTGTTACTTGAAATAGCTTTACAAATATTTCTTTTGTTGGACTGACTCTGATTATAAATCTGTAAAAACAAATGTAAAATGTCAAATTACATGTTATTTATAAAATACCCATTTATCCACAAGTAATTATTATATTAGCTTGGACTTATTGCAAATATAAAATTAAACCCTGATCCGATTAAATACTTAGAGAATAGAATTTATGTTGCTTGAATTTTAAAACCTATCAGTAAACTATTAGATTAATCCTTGATGAAAATCATTTCAAAATCTATTATTATAAAAGTCTACCTTAGCAACTATTTCTTTATTAACTATCTTGCTGTTTTTAAATAGGGTTGACATTTACATATAAGTGTAAGGTTGTTTTGTTTTTATAAACTAATCCCTTATGTCAGTGTATTCATCTCTCTATACTTCAGTTTCCTTTACTGAATATAACAACAAGCATGACTTCCCTTTACAGGGTGCTGACAGGATTAAACAAGATAATGAATCTGAAGCACTTAGAATAATGCACAGAACAGAGTAAATACTCACTAAATGTGGGCCATTATTACTATTTTACAGATAAGAAAACTGACATCTGAATAGAG